CCATGCATGTTTCCCCACTTTGTTGAGTGAACTCTCTACAGAAGTGGATGCACTCCCAGCTCTGCCCACAACCAAAGACCATTTTTGTTGGTCATGACTAAGGAGAACCAAAGCAGGAACTATGTCCAAGGCCACTTTCAGTCATTCACACAAGTGTAAATACATGCTGAGCCTCTATTTTTTTATCCACACACAGTGATGAAATCTGTCCAGGATCCTCAGACGTCCTGTGTTTCTGCACCACTCATATGCATAACTTCCTGTCTCTCACACCCAAATACAGAAGGCCTTGGTGGACCAGGCTCTGCCAAGGTCTACCCAGCCCAAACCTCCAGACTTGTGTCATATATAATCAGCCAGGATAACAATACCTACAGACAGCCGCAGTGCCTCCCAGCAACCGCCATCCACTACAAATCCTGTAGGTGTGGATGTAAAGCTTCCTCACACTTCCTCTGCGACACTTTACCATTGTTCATTCTCTTATGGGATCAGAGGAAGTGATCCCTCCCATTCCCTTCAGTCTTGCCCTCCCCTCCCTGGCAGGGATGTTTAGACTTCAGGCTTCCTCTGTGGTGGTTCTCAGATAGTGAGCAAGGATTGCTGATAAGTACTTTTGTCTGACACCCTGTGTCCATGAACTACACCTCTCAAGTGAGCTTTGATAGGAAGTAATGAACACTTGAACTTACACTGACCTGCCAGTCAACTTGGCCTATCCAAGTCAAGGACAGTGAATAAACCCAAATAACCCATCCAACCCTGACACAAAGTATTGATAAGCGAGTGAGAGGGTCGATGACCTTCTAAAATTTCTTAGAGCAACATCTCCACTTTAAATCCTACGCACACTCAAGCATCTGCCTTTCTGACCTGAGCTGTCCTCCCAGAAATTTGTGTGCATCATAAATAGTCACATCTGAGGAAAACAACAATAAAACACAACAACAAACAAAGGTCCAGCAGATTCATATGACAAAGGAAGACAAGAGCAGCATAAAGTCTAGTGGTTTTAAAAAGAATCCAGCTCATTCCAATGAGATCTTTTGCCTCCATCTCTCTCAATCTGACTCAGAGTTAAATAAAAGAAAACTCACCAAAACACAACAACTTGGGAAAGCATGAGATGAGAGCTGCTTTTACACATGTGCCTCTGTCCCTTCCTCTTGTCTCCATACTTTGAGACTAAGACATAGCTGTGGTTATGGCTATTTATATCAAGCAATCTTCCCCAGTGACAGTAGGTTCTTTGCAGTTCTTGGCAAACGGGTCTTATGTGCATAGAAATATTGTATGTACGTTAAAGAAAAAAAATTGCTCTGAACACACGTTTGCTCTGTGGCGTAGAGTTGTGCAGCGTGCTGTGCGATGTGTCCCAGTTATCTGTGTGCCATCTCTGAAAGCTACCACCCTCGGTGTCAGCTCAAAACCAC